CCAGAAATCGAAGCCAATTTTCTGGGCGGTCGCGGCGCAAGCCGAGAAGGGGCCCCTAATGCTGGACCAAGGGCTACCATGACCCTCAAGACGCCCAACCTCAGCGACGACCCCTTGCTCCAGCATTCTTCGGGGGAGCCAATTGTCCCAGACTGCATGGGCAAACGCCGTTAGCGGGTCGAGGTTGAGGCAGCAGAAGGGGCCCACAAAAAGCGCGTGCGCAAGCATGAGCATGAGCGTGATACACCGACCAGACAACCGCTGACTCTGCACATGCGCCTGCAACGTGCGCGCGGTGCGGAGGTCACCTCCGTTCGTACCAAGCACACTGCCTCCGTGCCGGGTGGGCGAGAGCACGGCAGGCTGCAACCTAGCGTGAAGGAAACGGCGCTTGACGAGGCCCCGAAGCGACAACAACTTGTGACCACGGCGCAGAGCAGGCTGCTTGCGCGCGCGCCGTGTGGCGCGCGGTCTCACCTTGCCAGCGCCGAAATCGATGCCCAAATTGCGTTCAACTCTGACAGCCTGCACACGATGACGCTTGAGCTTTCTCCCCCAGGCAAGCACGGTGCGACGGCGTGGAGGCCACAACGCGACTCTTTTTGTCAGCGACCGGCATCTGGGCGGCGGCGAGCTCGCTATGCAGGAGCGAAGTGGCGCCTGCAAGCTCCGCAGCGACGTCGGCCTCACGCCCAAGCCGCTGGAGCCCAAAATCGTCAACAACCGAGCCAATGCTAACATTGTCAAACGCTTCTTGGACCGTGTCTAGGAGGAAACAATAACATTATCTGCAGCATGAGAGTGGCGAAGTGGCACCCAAGCAACACTGCCTGCAAAATGGACACGGGACAGGACACGGCATTCTGCAGAGACAAGGTCCTGGGGCACCGATCGAGCTCGACGAAAAGCTTCAGCTGGCGGATCGGGAACCCCGACCCCGTGGCGGCCGAGACCAGCAGAGAATGCTTAATACGCTCGAAAGCCGTCTGAAGACCAAGGAGCACTAGTGCACTGGCCAGACCCTTGCTCCTGGCCCATTCGGCGGGCGCCGACAGGATCCAAACTAATTTGTCACTGCTGCGCCCAGCCGTGGGCCACCATAAGTGCCTAGGGCGATCAGCTTGCCACTGTGCGACCAATGGCTTGGCAGTCTACTCTGCAGGCGGCCGAGTATGTGGATGAGCGCGATGGGGCGAACGCCCCCATCGAACTTGTCCAGGAATACAACCTTGTTCCACAGGACAGGCCACCGACAAGTAGACTCTACTTCCATGACAGCGCCCATGAGGGACTCCAAAGCACAGTCAGATAGAACAAGCAGCTGGCGTGGACACAACTGGTCGAAGACACAATCAGGCCTGCGCGGGAAACTCTTAACAACCGGCTTAACATGCTCGAGGCTGGGCCGCGGAAAAGGCGGGCCGGGATCGCCAGGCCACTGGATGGCGTCGCGATGCGCTGCAACCTCCCACCAATCCGACCACTCACGAGTCAGCAACTCCACCTCGTCCTGAAGCGTGGCAGGTGCGTCGCAACACAAGCTGCTGGCGCGTCAGGACAAAGGTGGCTTAGAGTATGCACGCAATGCTGCTGCGCCGCCAACTGAGTTCCTGCGCGCCCAGTCTCTCCAGCCCGCGAGCTTGCCCTGCTCGGCAGCTCGGTGCGCACGCACCGCCAGCTCCTTGGTTGTGGCGGCGGCGGCGGCAGCTAGCTCGGAAGGCAATGCGCGGGCAAGCTGCAGCAGCGAGGCCCAGGGCCCGGCTTGGACCTCACTGACGCCAGCGGCTTTAGCACGAGCGGGCAGCCGCTCAACGAGGCGAAGAGTGCCCTGCCTTAGCGGCGGTGGCTGCCACTTGGCGAGCCCTTCAAAGCAACGAGCGACGAGGCGCCACCGTGCCCCTGCTGGGCTGAGGCGTGGGAAGGGCAACGCCTGTGGCACAGGCGGCGCGCAGACAGAGACGGCGAGCGGCTCAGCTCGCCCGAAGTACTGCGGGTGATCGACGGGGTTGGGGTCGCACAAATCTCTATGTCGAGCTCGACGGCGGCAACCCAACTGGCCCACATGTCATCGAGGTTGGCGTTCTGCATGGATTTGCTGACTTCTTGCCAGCGTGCAGAGGGGTCGAAACGCCTGCAGCCGACAGGTACGTCAACTGGGAAACGGGATAGTACACGAACAACCTGATGCCGCAAGCAGGTGGCCGCCAACGGCCGCACGGTGAGCACAACAAGGTAGTGCGGCGCGGCGCCGACGTCGCGCAGGACCTCGAGGTTCGCCGCGTAGGAGAAAACCGAGGACACCACGTAGAAATCGATGGTACGAGCACCAGACGCGGCCGAGTTTGTACACGCGGGGCACGAAGGGCTGAGGACAACGGCGTCAACTGCATCCACCCACCCACTACCTTATAGATCGGACGGGAGCACTTGATAATCTCCTCCGAGAGCGAAAGGCAAGCCTGACTGTTTAATCGCCTGACCAATGCTGCCCAAGATAGCCCAATTGCGCGGCGACAGTCCTTCGCTGTGATGCAAGTAGACTGCAATGTAAAGCAAACCCCCTGAAACCAACCCTGACCAGTGAAGCGCGCGGGCACGACCGCAAGCTAGGATGGGCACGCACGCGGGGTTGGCGAGGCCGACTACGAACGGGACACGTTGCAACGAGCCACCCGACGTGCCACCAGCCCGAGTGACGGCGGCCTGTCATGACGGCTCGCCATCAAACTCGCCGCAACTTCTGCTCCCACTTGGAGCGCACATAAGAATATGAAACATGCTGCTCCTGAACTGCATCCGCGTGTGCGCGCCGAACTCGGTCGTGGCCCTGTAGAGCCTCGAGTCCAGCAAGTCCACTAACATTTGAGGTGACGAACGACCAGCTTGAGCCGCCATCAGGAACTCGCCCGACCTCCGCCGCTGGAGCTGGTGGCACGCTGCTTCTTGGCTGCGTCCAAGGTGGAGTCGAACGCGGAAGGGACCAGCTCGCGCTTGACGCCGTGGGCCTCCGCCAGCTGGTCAGCAGCAGACGCGGGGGCATCGGCCCTCTGAGCGTTGATGTGCGCAAGCAACTCCTGGAACGCTGCATCTGCTCGGGCCTGAGTGGCTGCGGCGTCAGCTGCTCGCTGCTCGGCCAGGCGCTGGGCTTCGGCTGCCTGGGCGGCCTGCACGCGGGCTGCCCCGGCCGCGGCTGCAGCAGCTGGATCCAGCTGCGGCGGCTGCTGCAGCTGTGGCTCGCCAGAGGGAGGAGCCATGTCAGTGTCAGCAGACTGAGCAAGAGCAGGCTGAAGCAGCGCTTGAAGGGCAGGGACCAGCGCCTGCAGCTGCTCGCCGAAGGCCGTGAGGCGCGGGTCGGCGGCAACGCAGCTGGCGAGGCCGTTGAGCTGGGCGAGCGGGTCTCCAGGCGTCGCCATCTGAGCGTAAGCTTTGGCAGCCTTGTCCGCTGCCTCATTGCATCTCTGCTGTAACTCCTGTAGCTCACCTTTGAGATTGGCCGCATGCGCGATAGCTTTGTGTGCCTGTTCAGTAGCTTTGTCAAATGCCTTCTGCTTGCCTTGGACCAAGTTCTGCAAATTATCCTGCTCGATCCTGGCTGACTTGGCTGCGGCGTGCGGCTCTCCTTCCAGAACCGCACGCTGGGCGGCGATTCGCTGGATGAGCTTGGGCGCCCAGCCGTCAGACACCAGGGCAAAATTGGCGGGACCCATGCGCGCGTAGACGTCAAGCTGGGCATCGGCGAGGGCGGAGGGCCCCTTGTTGTTCTTGGGGGGCCCGTTGGCCCAGACACCTTTGGCAGCACGACCTCCTTGTGGCTTGGGTACGTCTTGCGGTGCCTCCTTCCCGCAAACACGGCAGTGCGTGCGGCTGAGGTAGTTGAAGCGGTACCCGCACTTTTTGTGGCCGCATCGCCACGTCTGAAATCAATACATGGTACAGTATGCGGGGAACCCGCAGCACAACAAACTGAGAGAGACAGAGGTGTGGTTTCCGAAGCTGATAGGGGCCGCTGATCCCCTGTGCCAAAAAACCTCAGGTCTGAGCCCACTGGCTACAGACTTGAACCAACATGGCTACGGATCTCCTGCTCCTCCTCCTCCTGCTCCTCCTCTCCCCCTTCCTCCTCCTAAGCCTCCACCTCCTTCCCCCTCCAACTTATGGTGGTGGTGGTGGAAAGCAGGCCCATCATGAATAGAAATGGTCTAAAAGACGAACGAATCCCCGTATGAACTTGCGAATCAAACTACGAACGAATCTGATTATGAATTGACCGGGGCATGCATGAACCTCAACGTGACTAGGTCTCCTCAAAGATGAGTCGGAATCTGCGTGGCCTCAACACGATGAATCTGCGAATGAGTCTTAGTGAGTCTTCGCCGTAGAACGTCTGAATGTGAACGAAATTGAATACGAGGGGATCTGGATTAAATGAGCCTACTTAGGTAAGTATGATTCTGAGTGGGTCAGAGTGAGCAACTGAATCTGAATGGGTCTGGGTATGGGAAGGATGCGGGATTAGTATGAGGCGGGGGAGTCCATCACGACGATAATCCCATTACACCAGAACAAAAAACAGTGGATGGTTTGAACATTAGTGATATGGATATTGAGATCGATTGTGAGATCAATAATGGAATCGATAATGAGGATGATTGTAAGGTCGATTGGGAGACCGATAGGGAAATCGATTCAATGAGATCAATACTGAGATCGATCGTGAGATCGCTCGTGCGATCTATAATGAGATCGAGTGTTGGGTCGATAGTGAGATCGGTAGAAAAGTGGGTAATGAGATCGATGGTGAAACCGATCGATAAGAAGATCGACCAGGAACCCGGGAACCCGGGAACACCGCCGCCCACCGAAATCGGCCCAAAACCGGGAACCCGGGAACCCGTAACTGGGATCCCTGGAACCTGGCCGCCCACCGAACTCGACCCAACACTTTCGCAACATCTTTCAATATCCGCTAGGACCCCTTCAGTGCAAACACTGATTGATATGCGTTACACTAGGTTTGGCATTCCGTCAGTGGGTTCGCACTACTAGCCAAGTTCTCGGATCAACAGGGCGGGGCGGTGCCTGCAGAGAGTCCCAGGATCGACCAAGAAGGTCCGAAAACGCTCCAAGGGACCCCCAACATCGTGCCAAGACAGCCCCGAAGGCCCCAAAAGCAATGCCAGCATTGCCCCGCATTGGTTCCAGGAGACGTATGCCTGAGGTCCACTCGACATGCCCCTGGAGGCCCTCGAGACCGCCAAGAAGCCCTCTGGAGGACCCCGAGAAGCCCCTGGGCGACCTCCAGTAGGAGGCGCGGACGAAGCTCCCCAAAAGACAATCCGAAATCCCAACAAAAAAGTCTCGGTTCACAACCCTCAGCGCACGGTGGCGGAATAGGCAGCGCGGCGCTAGACCTCCGCACTACCACAGCGACAGTGCAGGAATGGCGTGTGTGGAACGCTGGAACGCTATACCTTCAGTGGGGTGCCTGAAGCGGAGCAGAATTGGTGCAGCACGGTGAGAGAGAGAGCAGGGAGCGAAGCAAGCTGAGGATAGACCGGGATCAGACTTAGGAACGGCGGAACACGCAAACTCAAGCGAAACGCCCGCACACCTCCGAACGACACTCCGCAAGTTCTCCACTCCTCGTCGGGCTGGCACCGAGAAGGAGGAGCCAGTCGCTCTGTGGGAGCTTCGCAGCAGCATGGCATCGACCACCAACTGACGCTGACCGGACGAGCCGCTCAGGCCAGCTCCACGCCCAATGTTGAGGCAAAGCGGTGCAAACTCCCTCAACCTCGCACCTCAAACTAACACGTCAGGCTCGCTTGGCAAAATCGTCACATCACTGCAGCTCTGCCATATTTGGTTCGACTCTTCGCAGTCCCACCGCCATCCGAGAACATAGTCTCCTGGTTTTAAGTCCTTGGGGATCATCACGCGGTCCACAATCTCGAGGTTCGGCTCCGCACTTTGGCCATCGGCCATGCCGGAGCAGAAGTACGGAGCCTTGTCTGCGCACTTTGGCTTATGCGCTGCGCCATGGTCGAAACGTGGAATGGGGTTTAACGACCATTTTGAGCCTGCGGGCACCGTTCCCTCACTCACGTAGGTGCCATTGAAAAACATTTCGGCTCCACCATGGGCCGGGCCGCCCCCCCAACGGAGGCCCTGTTGCCCAACAAACTCCAAAGGTATCTTATTGAATTCCTCCTCCGTGAGCGGTCCATCTGCGGGCGCAAGCCGGTACAAATAACCGCCTGCATGATTGGCTTCGATGGCCCAGGTCACTTCGTATGACTTGCCAGCCGTCCACTTGGTGTTCGAGGGTGTCTTCGGCAAGACCTTTGAACCAGCATCACCCAACACTGCATGCTTGGTGTTCACGTAGATGCCACCGAAATCACCATCTGGCGGCTTGTGCCCGCCCGCCATACCACACGAATCGAACACTGGTGCTGCACCAGGTGCTCGCCATGGACTGTAGAAATACCAATCGTCTTCGCCGCCACAAGTCGCATCGATATTAATTGTGCGGTATTCCTCCTTGCAGATGGTTGGCACAGCCTTTGATTTCTGTGGCCCTTTGCAGGCGACGCCAGGGCCGACCTTGTTCTGACCAGTGCCCGTAGGGTTCTTCTGGGGAGGACAAGGCTTTGAAGGCTCATAACCGCATCTCGGGATCGGGCCACGGCTGGAACCGTCACAAGTATCGCTAGGGGAACAACAAGTGACATACACATAACAACTCGGAGGTCCGCGCGGATTTCTCGGATCGGCGCTGGACCCCCCTCCCTGGAACGCGGAGCGCGCTAGGGGCGGCGCCGGAGGCGCCGCCGGGGGGCTCCAGCGCCGATCCGAGAAATCCGCGCGGACCTCCGAGTTTTTATGTTCATGCCACTTTTTGTTCCCCTAATCGCAACCAACGGCGCACCCGTTCGAGAACCAGAAGCAACTTTGCCCGTTCTGTCCCGAGACGCTTCCACCGGGCCCAGGCACGGGGCACCACCCCGTGTGCGTCTCGACGCTCGGGCACTCCCCTGTCACGTGGCAGGGCACGGGCCCGTTCCAGGGAGCGACATCCTTATCCACGGCATTTCGCGGCGGAGGGCTCACCACGGAGCCATGGCCATGTGCGGAAGCCACGAGGGCTCCTGCAACGATGCTGACAGATACGTACATCGTATCTGCTGAGGGGGCCCTGGACTTTGCTGCTACGCCTTGGGCCAAACGGGAAACAAACAAGAAGACGATGCATACCCATCGATACTATGTCTACAACTGGTGGCATATAATGCACATGATCGGTCGACCCTCTAACACGTCAACTTCTTTGCATACATGTCAGAACTACTCAGAACTACTGCAAACGCTCCTGTACACTTCGCCGGACTAACGGGCCAAAACCGTGCTAGTATCTCTGATGTTCGCGCGCGCGTGGCGGCCCCAGGGGGTGCGGAAAGAAAAATAGCATGGGTAAGTCCCAGGCGGTCCGGGTCACGGATGCTGAGCTCCTGGTCGCGCGCTGCAAGCCCCCCCCCGCAGGGTACCCCAACAGCGCCTGGAGGGGGCTCCACGAGAGCCCAATAGAGTCCGAGACGGCCCAAGGGCGCCCCCACGAATGGCCTCTTGATGGCCCCAGGGGCCTCGAAAAAAGGCCTCCAAAAGGCCTCAGGAGAACAGCCAAGAGAACCCCGAGAGGCGAGAGGCACGGCCACTCGATGTTCTACAGACCTTCTCCGACACGCTTTCCGGCTGTTGTCTAAGGGACCGAAAACGGGGCGACCGTGATCCGAAGCTGGCCATCGCTCGGACGTCCATTCCCTGTTTTTTTTGGGGGGGGGGGGTCGTGCGTGGCTTTTTCGCAAAAAGGATCACAAGGATGTCGGGGACCTGCTGACCCGGGTCAATCCAGACCCGGGTCAGTCAGGCCTTGCAGAGTCCTGCAAGATCCTGCAAAATCCTGCACCCAAACCCGGGTCAATGCGAAGGATCCTGCAGGATCCTGCACCCAAACCCAAGTCAATGCGACCTTGGCCCTGCAGGATCCTGCATGGTCGGGGCGCTCTGGCTGACCCCCGTTTGCACTGACCCCCGTCTCGAGGCTCCCGAGGATGCTCCTCGACGGTCCTCGCCGGAGGAAAGATGCACACGTCCGAGCGATGCAAGGGAGGCGGTGGCGCACGTGATCTGGAAGCGGCGGCGCCCTTGCCTCCCGCTGTCTCGCGCTGCCTCCCGTGGGGAGGAGGGGGAGGAGGAGGAGGGGGGGGAGGAGGGGGGGAGGAGGAGGAGGAGGAGGAGGAGGAGGAGGAGGAGGAGGAGGAGGAGGAGGAGGAGGAGGAGGAGGAGGAGGAGGAGGAGGAGGAGGAGGAGGAGGAGGAGGAGGAGGAGGAGGAGGAGGAGGAGGAGGAGGAGGGGGGGAGGAGGGAGGAGGAGGAGGAGGAGGAGGAGGAGGAGGAGGAGGAGGAGGAGGAGGAGGAGGAGGAGGAGGAGGAGGAGGAGGAGGAGGAGGAGGAGGAGGAGGAGGAGGAGGAGCCCAAAAGCACGCGGCACCCGGGGCTAAGGCTCCGCGGAACTCCGCCCGCCGCGCGGAGCCGGACGAGCAGGAGACCGCACGGGAGGCGGCGCGAGGCAGCGGGAGACAGGGGCGCCACCGCTTCCGGGTCACGGCCTCACCGTTGTCCTCCTCCTCCTCCTCCTCCTCCTCCTGCCCCTCCTCCTCGTCCTCCTCCTCCTCCTCCTCCTCCTCCTCCTCCTCCTCCTGTGCGTGCTGCCCGAAGACGGCGTGACCAATGGCTGACCTTTGCTGCGGGCAATACTGAAGGGGCCCGGGGACACACAAATTCGTACACACACAAATAAAATGATCCCCCATATTTTCCCGTATCTTCTGGGTTTCTGTCTCCCCCCCACTTCCCATATTTTCCCATATTTTCTGGGGGATCGACGATTAATTGTGTCTGTGAGTTCTTTTCCCTCCTGAAATACTTCTGTCTATATCCACTGCAGTATGGAGTTTTGGGCTCCCTTCCCAAGAAGCCCGAGGCGCACTGGATGTGGCTACGTTTGCCCCCTAGAGGCTCGATGTCTATCCATATCCAGTGCGCCTCGGCCTTGTGGCGCCGCTCCCAAAAAAGTCCAAGAGGCACTGGATATGGATATGAAACTTGCACGCATTTGCCCTCTTGTCTCCCATGGCCTCCCGTTGCCTCCCGCCGTCTCCCGTGGTCTCCCGTCTGCCTCTTGTGTGTCGTTGCCTCCGAGTGTTTCCCGTGGTCGCCTGTGGTGCCCCATTGTCCTTCTGAGTCGCTCTGAGGCCCCAAGACGACAGTGGATGCCTCCAAACGGCCTCCAACAGGGCACCGGGACGGCCCCGCAGGGCCCCAAGACGGCCCAGCAGCTTCCCAAAATGACCCAAGAGGGGCTCAAGAAGGAGAACTCGAACATACGTGTCCAGCCCCCCACCCCAAGAGCAAACAACGGCCCCTTGGCACCGGGACAGTGACTCGGATAGAAATGAAAACCAGGCAAGCGTTCCCACTCTTGGTTACGATGCACAACTCGGCCGAACCTGTCGGCGTGTGTGAAAAGGGGGTTTCTGGGCCCGTCGTCTTGAACCGACGCTTTTTTCTATGTCCCGGCGGCCAGCTTTGGCCTTCCAGCCTCGTCGGCCCCGAAACCCTTTTCCATGTGACGCTCTCCGCAATGGGGGGGGGGGCCGGGGGCCGGGGGGGCAACCCTTCCTGGGTCAAGAACTTCTTGTCCCCGGTGAAGTAGTACTCGTTGGGGCCAGCTTGGTCCCCTTTCTTTTTATACCTTTTGGTCAAAAACGCCAACTAGGGTCCCAAATCGGCCCAAGAAGCCCCCAACACGGCCCAATGATTAGGACCCCCACGAAGGCCGAACAGGTACAAATTCATGTTTAGCCTGTCGCCTCATCGCCCATTTCCTGTTCGCCACGGCGGAGTCCATCTTCAAGCCCCCTGCTTTGCCTCCTCCTCGTATTTTGTTGTATTTTCTCTCCTTCTCTTTTCCCATACAACCCTTTCCCCATCCCTCTTGCACGGGCGCGCGTGTCGATCTCCTGTGGCGCCGTCGCCGCCTCGGCTGGCAATGGCGCGTTCGCCAATGGCCAGAACGCGAGACCGTTGGGATCCCGATGGCCGCCTCGGATTACTAACGTGGCGTGCGGGCGCCATGAGAGAACACTCTTGCTCGAGACTCTCTGGGGTCTCCCTCACAAGCTAAGCACCCACTCACGACGCTCTCAATTTTCAAGCCGCATTCGCCCAATCCTGACGACGCGCACAAATGTCAAGTTTGACGATGGCACCCTCGGATTACTAACGTGACGCACGGGTTCCACACAGACGGGGCCCCCGCCGCGGACTTCCTCGCGATTCACTCAGAGACGATGTTTCCGCTCTAGACTTCCTCGACGTTCAGGAAACAAGAGCCCAAGAACAACTGCGGTAACAAAGACGGCCGCCCCAAATATGCATCGCGGGCCCCACACGGAGGGTTTTCCCGCTAGAGGCTGTTTCGCGCAAGCATCACGAGCCCCCAAATAATCACACATTCACGTTTTAGGATGGCCAAATGTGAACTTGTCACGATCCATGTTCCGACACGCTCGCGGGCATGTCGGTTCCTGCACTCTTCCGCGGGAACATACATGTTCACGAGCACGCCTGGAGAATCAGCCGCGGGGAAGGGAAGGATCAAGAGGGATGGAGAGAGACAGAGAGAGAGAGAGATCGAAACCAGGCTATGATGAAAATGCTGCTGCTGAAAAAGCTGATGACGATGGTGATAATCACGAAGACGACGATGGTCGGGCGGCGCCTACGGGACCACTCGCGCACGCGTCGGGCGGCGGTGCAGCGGGCCCCTCACGTCCCAGCCGCGCTGGCGTGGCTGGAAGCCCCATCCTTCTCGTTGTTCTGACGGCGCACCGCCTGAGGCAAACTGCTTGGCGGGAAGCCTACGCGCTCCTGCTGGCGTCGGCGCCAGCCGACGCCGGCGCGCGCACGTGCCGCTCCAACTCTTTCACCCGCGCCTTGCGCGCTGCGTTTTTCGGGTCGTACTTTCGCAGGTCAGCAGACCTCTCAGCTATGCGCTCAGCCTCGCGCTGCTTCAGTTCCTCATCCACCTTCCTGGTCTGCGGCTCCATCTTCCACGCTCGTCGCTCTGTGGCATCGGAAACCCGATTCCTGACCACCGAGGAACGGGCGACGCGTTCGTGCGATGGGGGGGGGAGGGGCACCAGAGCTGGGTGCACCTGTTCGGCGGACCACGCCGCCCGCAGCTCGAAGGCCCATGGACAGTCCTTTGTTCGACGGGCCCGTGGGGCGCCGGAGGCTCGACCTGAAACGGGCCGCCGTCGTCGTCGCCATCGTCGTCGGCGTGTTGTGCGACGAGGTCCGTCGGATTGGCGCGAAGACGACGGCGACGACGATGACGACGACGGCGACGACGACGGCGACGAGCTTCCAATGGATGGGGCACACAGGGCGCGGTTGGGTAGGGCCAGCTCAAGCGGCGGTGGTGGCGGCGCGGAGAGGACAGTGGCCGCTGTGTCCTCCTGGGCCGCAGTACGTCGGTGGCGGCGCCGACGACGTCGGCAGATTGGGCGGCGCCACCTTGAGCCAAGGCGGCGGCGGCGGCCGAACACGATATCTCACATATGCCCTCGGGGCATACTCGAAAAGTCAGGGAGCCCAAACTCGCAAATCTTCTTGGCGCTCCTGCGCGTCCCTGGGCTCCCGCGCGTGATTTGTCCAGAGGCCCGAGTGCCTATGACAGGCACAGGGAACTCCAAGAGGTGCCAAAAAGGGGCCAGAGGGCATCCAAGAGAGCCCGAGAACGCTCCAGGAGGCGCAAGATGGCTCCAACACCGCCCCAAAGGCCCCGAATGCTGGTCAAGGGGCTTCAACCAGACCCCCAGGAAGGCGCCAAAATGCAACCCGATTCCCCACATAATGTCTGCACGTGAAACATCTTACGGCTCTTCTAGAGTCGCGTGCCCACCTGCGGGCCCGGCGGTCCCGTTCTCGTCCTTTGCGGCCGCATGTTCCCCAGTGAAACGGTGCATTGTTCTGTAATGCTGTGCGTTGTTGGCATCGCACTGCATTGAGTTGCATTGCGTTGCATCGCATTGCACTGCTTGACGTTTCTGTGTGTTGCTTTGCATCGCATTGCGTTGTAGTGCATTAATTTGAATCGCATTTCCCTGTGTTGCTTTGTTTTGTATCGGATTACACTACTTTGTGCCGTACCAGTTGCACCGCCTACGCTGCACCACATTGAATGCACCACCTAGATAACCACATAGCGTACAACACATCACTGTTCGAAGAAAACGCTGTCCAACATAAGATGTTCCATAAGTTCTGAAGGAGTTGTTTGTTCTCGCTTTGTCGGGCTTTCGACGTTTTCAGACGGGCCAAGAGACCCCCAACATCGCACCAGACGGCCAGAGAGCCACAAAAAGCGCCCCCAGACGGCCCAAGAGGCCCCAACGACGGCCCAACAGGGCCCCGAAATGGGCTAACGAGAGGCCCCAAAGGGGAACACAAACTTACATCTCAAGCCCTTCGCCCCGAGTTGCACGCAAGACCTTCAAAAAACCAGATCCAAGAGGCCTCCGAGAAGCCTCCCAAAAGGTCCCCACAATCATTCCATCGGCCTGGGCCATACAACCCTAGCGCGAAGGCGGGATAGGCCGAAGGCCGCTAGATACACGAACCGGTGTACCTTATCTGCCACCGTGCCTTCGGGCACGGAGTGGGCGTGTGCTCAATTCCCTTGCTGAAGGCCCCGAACCTCTGATAGCCCCCAAATGGGTCAAGAGAACCGCAAGAGGCCCCCAAGACGGTCGACGATGGCCCCAGGGCGGCCGAACGACGGGTCCAAGACGCCCAAGATGGCCTCCACACGGCCCAAGAAGTCTCCAAGACCAAAGAGGTCTCCAAGATGATTACCTCCCAAGAGGCAACACTCGTTGACGTGTTCTTGGGTGGTTGCAGGAGTGTGGCGTTCTCGCCTTCTCGGCTTCCCGACGCCCCAAGACTGCCCAAGAAACGCCCGAGATCGCCCCAACACGTCCAACACGGCCCAGGAGGCCTCCAAGACGGCTCCAGGAGGAGCCTGGACGGGGGACCCGAAGGGCCACTCCAAGCCCTCGGCCTCGAAAGGCCCAGAGGATGCCCCAGTAGGCCCTGGATATGCCCCCTCGGAGGCACCCCAAGACCCCCACTGCAGAGGAAGCCCCAAGAGCCTCCCAAGAGGCTCTCAGAAATACCCCCAGGAGGCACCCAACCCACAAGCCAAGATTCCGCCGAAAGCGCCCTGAAGAGACCTCAAGAAGCATCCATGAGGACTCCGACCCACCTCTCTCTCCCACTCTCTCTTTCTCGCCCTTGTTTTGTCTCTCTCTCTCTCTCTCCCTCTCTCTCTAGAGATCGAGGAAGAAAGAAGGAGCGAGAGAGCGAGGAACAAAACAAACTAGCGAGAAAGAGCGAGAGAGAGATCGAGAGAAAACAAAACAACAAAACAAGAACAACACGAGAGAGAGAGAGAAATAAGAGAGAGAGAGAGAGAAAACAGGAGATACAGGGAGGGAGAGAGAATGAGAAAAAGAGATTGAGAGAGAGAAAGAGGAATGCAACCGGCAGGTCGCTGAATACAGGAAGCGGCAAGCAATGAAGCAGGTCTCCTGTATTTGGCCTGTATCTTCGTGGCCGCGTTCTCCTCTTCGGCGAGTTCCTTCCGCCTCTGCTCCATATCCGCGACCTGCAGGACGGAAGAGAGACGGAAAAGAACAGGGATGAACGGATGATGGAGGAGGGGGGTCCAGGAGGTGGAACGGCTATGATGATGGCGACGATGATGACGTTGCTGCTGATGGTGATTTCGCGGATGGTGAGCGTGTTGGTGACGACGCTGATTGTAATGGTGAAATTGTGGTGATGAAGATGGTCCCGACGATGATGTGAATGCTGGCGATGATGACGATGATGACGGGGATTGCGATGCCGATGTCCATGCGGGTGCTAATGGCGCGGACGTTGCCGATATCGCGGATGCTGGCGCGGACGGTGATGATGACGATGGTGATAGCGACGCTGATGATGCTGATGCCGCAGCCGAATGATTTGATGACTCATGTCTTCAATCACGTATGCATTCATTCACCCATCAAATGAAATCCCTGACCAGCATAACGTCAACACAACCGATTTCGTTCATAACCTGGACAGCGGGTCTGCGGGCTCTGTCCCTTTCGGCCAATGAAAAGGTTTGTCAGAATTCACCGCGCGAGCAAAAGCACAACGCACTGATGGGGCACTCTACGGCACTGGCCCCCTGAGCGCAGCCTCATCTAAAGGCTCCCAATAATAACAGGAGGGTATGATAGCTCGAGGCCCTCGAAGACTGAATTCTAGGCGGCGCTCACTCCAGCGTCAGTACAAACAAACATCCCACAGAGTTCCAGAAACGCCCGGACGAAAAATCGACCGTCCAGATGGACAACGAGACAGTCATGCATTTGAGCAACGAGACACTAACAATGTATGACAGAGGAGGGAAGGAGGTGGAATGAGGCCTGGCTGTGGATGTCGGCTTACTGTCGACACGCGGGGTGTATGTATTGCCGTTCAAAAGTCACCCTGGTGGAGAAGTCTTGAGCCGTGCTAACCCAGGTAAGGGCGTTGGGCTTGTCGGCTTGTCTTTTGTGGCGGTCGGTCTGGGCGTTGGGTGCAGGTCGGGTCTGCGTTGTTGGAACAAATTGACGACACCGGGTTCCAAACATTTGCGCTGCCAGCCGCACCGTCGCTGGCCGCGTTGGCGCGGGTTGTCTCCTGGTTGCCAGCGGAGCGCTCGCCACGCCCATCTGGTGGGGTCGTGGTTACCAACTCTTGGCGCCATGCGCCATGCGCCGCGACCTCTGTCTGCGGATCGCATCCCACTGTGCGACGTGGCGGCGCTGCATGAGTTGCTCTGCGCGCCGCGTTCCTCGTTGGACGTATTCGACCCACGCACGATTCCGAAACCACTTTGACCTCCGAAACCTCCAGAATCTCCGACGTGGGAAAGGTCGGAGCAGCATAGAAGAACGCGAAAGAGCTGAGAGCGGCGCGGCCGCTTTGTCGCTTGCGGAGGGCGTCGGCATTAGCGGCGGCGGCGGCGCTGGCCCGCGGAACCAACCCGGTTCCAGCGCCACCGCCAGTGGCCAGAGGGATTGCAGGGGAAGGACTCCTTCGGAATCGCGCGGCAACGCTGAAATTAAAAAATCATTCCGGATGATATCTTCGTTCCTGGGGCTTGGCCTGGTACTCTCCTAGGTGTGCAAGGCTCTGGATGACCTTCCGCGCTTTTTGGGTTCTTGAGCGGACTGCGGACTTTCTGGATGCTTCCCAGGGCCCTCAGGACGCACAGATGGTTTCGCACCGCCGCGGTGCGCAGCTGTGGGTGATGATGATGATGATGATGATGATGATGATGATAATGATGCTGGTTATCGGGATGGTCAATGATGATGCTGGTGATGAGGAGTATTATGTTGGTGATGACGATGATGAAGATGATGGTGATTGGTGATGATGGTGGCGATGGTGGCGGTGGTGATGGTTTTTAACAGAATCGGGGTTCATGGGTGAAGGACAGTTCGGGAGTGCTGAAAAGAGCCCTCTGCCCACGCCAAACGCATACAAGAGCCGCTGTGCTTTACGCGCACGTGCAGGCGCGGGTCACTCCGCACCGCGCAGCGCGCGATCGGCGAGGCGCCCCGCCGCCGATCAACAATCGGCAATAGTTCACAAAGGTGGCTGGAGGAGACTTCGCGGTGGACACAATCACAAGATCCCCAATAGCACTGGCAACGACATTGGTGTCTGGAGCAAACTTCACGAAGGCTGCCTGATAGCAAGTGGCACAGACAATGACAGTGGCACCAATATCACAATCCAGTGGCTCTGTTAACGATGTTCGACGCAAGCCCTTCGCCAAAGCCCGTCCGGGCACAGGCTCCAGGTCGCGTGAGAAATCTCGCCGCGATGTCCGATCACCGCAGCGGGCGAAAGGTCAAGTTTTTGTCTTGTGAGTGTCCGAGATTGACTACATCAATGCGTCACCGCAGCGGACGAAAAAAAAAGTAACGTTTTGTCTTGTGTGTCCGAGCTTGCGCACATTAGTGCGACAATGAGGATGGCACCAATATCGAGATTCACAATAACTCGACTAAAGACAGTGCAGTTACCGAAATATCTGCCAGGGTAGAGCACAAGCCGATACCACGAAACGTGTGAATCCGTGGCAGCGAAAACCTACCACATTCGGACCGCGAGGCCCTCGGGTGGTAGGTCCCCGGCGTTCTAACAATCAATGCAACTGTCCCTCAAGCCAGTCGGTCCATTCCTGAAGTTCCTACTCCATGCAGCCTGGTGGTGCTGCTCCGCGCAGGTGTCGTCCCCCTAGCTGGCGTAGCCCGTCGAGATAAAGGGAACCTCTTGTCGCCCATGGGCTGGATGCCCAAGATGAGTTTCACCTGGTCCTCCTGCGCCGCCTTCGCGATCCTGCATACCCTGATCAGTTGCTCCGCGTCCTCCGCCTTCTCGCATGCGTTGAAACCCTCCACCAGCTTCTTGATAGCATTGAGGTTGGTGTCGCCCACCTCGGGGAGAAACGCCATCACGTCCAGCACCGCCCCGAACAGGAGTGTGTGGGGTGGCCCCAGGGGCTGCACGTCTGGGTTCTTCTCCTTGTCCTTGCGGTACTGGTTTACCCTCTCCGCGAACTGCGCCTGCTTGCTTCTCCTCGATGGCCAAGATCACCTTGTGGCTCCTCGGAAAGATGAAGGTGTCGAGCATCGCACCCTCGATCGTCCTGATCTTCTGCGTGTTGTTGAGAACTTGCTTGAGGATGAGCAGGAGTAACTCTCGAAGACCCTTGTCCGTCGGCGCGAAGCAGAGGCAATCCGCTCCAGCCTGTGGCTATTCGGGGCAACCGGAAAGGCGAATTGTCTGGCGTGCCCAAGAAAATATCTGGTAACAGGTGAACCCCAGCAGCCCTTTCGGGCGTGAGTGGTTTTGGGGGGGGCTTGCCCCTCCCCTTCCCCCCTCCTCATTGGGTCTGAAGAGAAGGGGCCTCGGCGAGCAAGCCAGCATCACTTATTCTACTAAGATCTGGCCAAAGGTTGGCCTCCTGGGTGGGGTGCTATTTGGAACCTCCACCTCCTTTAATAGATCTTCTCCTTCCTAGAGGTCCCCAAGATGGCCCCTGAGGCTCCCAAGGGTGCCCCAAGACGGCCTCAAGAGGCGCCCAGGAAGCCCCGAGAAGGCCCAAAAACTCCCAAGATGCCCAAAGTGGCTCCCAGGAGACCCCCACAGGCCCCAAGCGGCCTCCCAGAGGTACACCAGACGCCCCAAGAGGCCTCGCCGAAAAGCCCAACATCATTGGAGGGTTTGCCACATGTTGGCTTCTTTGGAGGGGGGAACTAATTCAGAAGCCCCCCTCCTTTGATCGACCTCCTCTTTCCTGGATGGCTGCAAAATGGCCCCCGAGGCACCCCACGAGGCGCACAGGGAGCCCCAAGAAACCTCCGAGAGGCCCTCAAGCTGCCCCAAGAGGATCACAGGTGCCCCAAGCGGCCCCGCAGAGTCACCCAAGACGCCTCGGCGAGATGACCGGCAGCGTTAATTTCGCTACGGTGTGAGCCACATGCTGGCCTCATGGGGGGACCCTACTTAGAACCTCCCTCCTCTTTGATCAATCACCTCCAAAATGGCCCCAAGATGGCCCCCGAGGCTCCGAAGGGTGCCCCAAGACGGCCCCAAGAGGGCTTCCAAACGGCTCCCGAGATGCGCCCACCAGGTTCCCACGAGGCCCCAAAGAAACACCTGGGGGCCCCCCAGAAGCACCCATGACGCCCCCAAGAGGCCCCCGGGACTGCCAAGAGACCCCCAAGACGCCCCAAGGGGACTCCAAAAAGATCTCGAAAGATATCCGAAGAGACTGCGAGAGACATCCAACAGGCATCTGGCCTTTCTGCTCCTCCTCCTCCTCCTCCTCCTCCTCCTCCTCTTCCTCATCCGCCCTTCCTCCTCCTCCTCCTCCTCCTCCTCCTCCTCCTCCCTATTCCTCCATCTCCCCTTCCTCCTCATGCTCCTTCTCCGAGTCCTCTTCCATCCTCCCTCTCTTGGCCTATGACGGCCTACCCAGCCCTCTCTTCCAATGCATTCTTCTCCACACCCCTGATTAGGGGAATTCGTCTGGGCACTTCTGGATGGGCTGGTGGTGCCAGGCGAAACAGCTAGAGTTGTACAGCTAACTCACGCGTGCGTGGCGGCCCCTGGGGGCCCGCGGACGGAGCGTACCCTTTGACACGGAGGCCGGAGCTCCCCGGGGGGGGGGTCTTCGTGGCCCCGAAGATCGCCCAAATGGACCCCGGCGGAACTCCGAGAGCCCGAGAGAACTTTTAGGTGGCAGACCTCAATCTGTAAAGGGGCCCTGGGACACGCAAATAAATACACACACAAATAGCAGGATTCCCCACATTTTCCCACATGTTCTGGGTTTCTGTCTTCCCCCCCACGTCCCATATTTTCCAATATTTTCTGGGGAGTCGAGAATTAATTGTGTCTGTGTGTTTTTTTCCCCTCCTGACTTTTAGGTGGCAGACCTCAGTATGGCCCGGCCACAGGCACCCGAGGCCTCAAGATAGCCTCAAGATGATCCCTGGCAGGCCCAAGACTGGCCATCGCTCGGACGTCCATTTCCTGTGTTTTTTTTCGGTTTCGTGCGTGGCTTTTTCGCCAAATGATCAAGGATGCTCCTCGATGGTCCTCGCCGAAGGCAAAATGCACACGTCCGAGCGATGCCAGGAAGAGTGCCCAGAGACGAAGTGTCTGTGAACGTCTTTGGCATCCCATGCGTTTTGGAAAGACTCTGACGTCACCGCCCTTTCGGGCTCCCGCCCGCTCCAGACGGCCCGAGAGGCCCTGAGATCGCCAAAGGCCAGTTCAAGAGGCTCCCAAAACGGCCCCATCTCGGCCCAAGAGGGCCCCGATACGGCCCAAGAGGCCCACCGAGAGGGCTCCGGAGGCCCCCAAAAAGGGGAAGTTCGAACCGACATACCGAACCCGTTTGCCGAAAGATGGCCCCCGACCCCCCCGGCAGGCCCGGAAGAGGCCCCCAGAAGAGCTACAGACCCCCCCAAGAGGCCCCCATCCTCCTCCTCCTCCTCCTCCTCCTCCTCCTCCTCCTCCTCCTCCTCCTCCTCCTCCTCACCCTCCCCCTCCTCCTCTTCCTCCTTCTCCTCCTCCTCCTCCTCCTCCTCCTCCTCCTCCTCCTCCTCCTCCTCCTCCTCCTCCTCCTCCTCCCCCCCCGAGAATCCACATGGGAGTCCAAAAATTGTCCTGGCGAGAAACCTAGCCATATGCAGCTGTGAATACCACAGCTGTGACTCCTGTCTTTGGTGGAGCTCCCCTATGCGGCCAAGAAACGCGTGAGGGGTGTGCCGAATCGTATGCGGGGCCGCCATGCGGACTCCCTTCCGTCGCGCGGCAAGGTTAAAACTTCTGTTGTCGGCAAAGCTGCACCGTGGCGCATGTGGCAACGAATGGCGAGCCACCCATGGACCGGAGACGTCCCCTGACACGCGCCCTCACACATCCCCCGACGTGCCCCCTGACAAATTGCAAGTCACGTCCGCTGGCACATCCCCTGAAGCGTTCCCCTCTCCGCCCGCACGCCCCCATGGCAAGTCCCGTGCGGCATCCCCCGACGGCTCCCCGGGAGCCCGCGGGCAACACGCCTTCCTCCTCTCCAGGCTTGGATGCCTCGCTCTCCTCGCGCTGCCGTGATTGAGAGGAGTGAGGGGGAAATGCGATGACGAGAAAAAAGGCCGCGACAAAAGGACGGATCGGGATAAGACGGATCTGGCCATCGCTCGGACGTCCATTTCCTGTGTTTTTGTTCGGCTTTGTGCGTGGTTGTTTCGCCAAATGATCAAGGATGCTCCTGGATGGTCCTCGCCGAAGGCAAAATGCACACGTCCGGGCGATGCCAAGGGATAGGATGGACGAAGGGGGGGGGAAGAGGGATGGAGAAGGGATTGGGCGCGGGGAGAGTGGAGAGAGGCGAATGGAGGGGGGACGTATAATGACGACAAACAAAGAAGGATACGATCGTGAGCGGGAGGGATGTCAGAAGGAAGGGATCGGGGAGGCTGAGGAGGGGCGAGAAAGCACGGAAGAGACCTGCGCCGCGCGCGACTGTGGCGTGAAAACGCCTCGCGTTCTTCTCGCCCACGCCGGGACCGCACTTTTCCGCAAAGCCTCACCCAGGCTTCATGTGGCCCTGCCATTGACTGCCACGCCTACTGCACCTCTCCTCACTCTTCCGCCCTCCATCCAACACGTGCGGCGAATCCGAGCCGATGCCGATACCGCCCCAAACATCCGACGCCTCGATTCTTTGTCGAGACACGGGCCCCGACCTCCCGACCACCTCCCCGGGACCGGCTCGTCATCCCGCATCGCTGCTCGACAGCCCCGAGGCTCGGCGAGGACCCCGAGAGGCCGAAAAGGACGCAAAACTTCTGTCCCGCTGCTCGGGAGCGGCCAAGAGGGGGGGGGTCCAGAAGGGGGGGGGGTGCAAATCATGACCCGCGGCATGTGCGCGGCGCAGCGGGGGGGGCAGGGACGTAATGAAGTCAGAAGGGGCGCCATGAAATCTGAGGAAATATCATGGCCCCCGCCATGATATCCACCCCCCCCTAGTTAGCACCCCCCTCTTTTCCGCCCCCGAGATTTGGTGGTCCCCAAACGTGGTGGTGAGACACCCGGTGGTGAGTTTTGGGCGATTTGGATAATGGTTTTCGACCGCTGGCTGGCCCAAGAAACGCAAAACCTCGTGGCGACCGCGTGTCCCCAAACCCGGTGGTGACCTAGAATTATTTTTTGAGGGAATCGGGGTCACCACCGGGTGTCTCATCACCTGGTTTGGAGACCACCAAGCTGTCGAGGCGCCCGATGTCCGGGACCGGCGCCGGGTGCTGTGCCCCGAGCGAGCGAGGGCCTCCTGCCGCGCCGCCTTGCCACGGTGCACGGACTGGATCTTCCGGGCGGCCGCCTCGGCGGGGGCGCGCCCGCCGCCCACCTCCCTGGGCGGGGGGGCGCCTCGAGGCTTCCAGGGGTGCTTCTGGGAGGTGTCCGAGGATTCTCGGGTAGCCCACCAGTTCACGAGAGGGCTCTGAGGAGGGCCCCTGGGGGGAGTGCCCTCCGTCGCCAACCCTCCTCCCTCCCCCTTTCTCTCTTTGTGTTTTTTTGTTGTTTGTTCTCTCTCTCTCTCTCTCTCTCTATATATATATATATATACATATATACATCAATATATATATATATATATATATATATATATTGATATATGCGCAGCCCCCCCCAGCACCCATACATTTTGCATCGGTCGTTGAACGGTTGACTCTCTCTCTCTCTCTCTCTCTCTCTCTCCCTCTCACACACTTTGTCTCTGCTTATAGAAGGAGGAGGAGGAGGAAGAGGAGAAGGGGGGAGACAGAGGCGGAGGGGGACAGAGAGAGAGAGAGCGAAAGGGGGAGACAGGGAGCAGCTATCCCTGTGAAATCACAATGTTTGCGAAGCCTGGGGGCACCCACAGCACCCACAGCACCCGCTGATTTCCCCTCGGGCCTCGGCCTGTGCACAGCTCGCTCCCACTCTTTCAATATCGTCGTCCATCTCCCCACCCCATCCCCATCATCTTTTCCTTCCCCCTTCCTTCCTCCCCCCTTCTCCCTCCCACCCCCCCCACATGGCATCCCCTTGCACCTCGTTTCTATTTCTCTCTCTCTCTCTCTCTCCCTCCCTCTCTCTCTCTCTCTCTCTCTCCCTCTCTCTCTCTCTCTCTCTCTCTCTCTCTCCCCCCCCCCTCGCTCTCTCATCCTCCCGCTTCCGTGGCCCATTCTTCGTTTTTTTTCTTTCCACGTTGTCTTTCGCATCCCTTCCTCCGCTCCCCTTTTTGTTCTCTGTCCCGTTGTCCTCCGTCCTCCTTGCCGTCCTGTCTCTCTCGCTTGCCACTTCTCCCCATGGGGGCTGCGGGCGCCTTTTTTTAGTCGCCTCCGCGCAGGGGAGACCAACGCTTGAAGGAGCGCCATCCTCCACACAGGAAGACCAAGGCTTGCAGGGACCTTCCCCCAGACACGCCAGTGCCCACACACCCTATGATTTAATATGGATTTCTCTCACACAGGAGGAGGAGGGGGAGGAGGATCAGGGGGGAGACAAATATGGAGGGGGGACAGCGAAAGAGAAAGAGAGAGAGAGAGGGGGAGGCTCGAGGGAGCAGCGATCCCTGTGACACCACAATGTTTGCGGCGCCTGGGGGCCCCAAGCCCTGTTAGTTCATTCGGATTTTCAGGATTTCTGGGGTGAGAATCCAAGAAACCCTATGACTTCATTTGGATGTTTATGGTTGTTGTGATGTTCTGCCCTCCAGCAACATCAGCTCAGGAGCCCCTCAGGGGTCAGAATCCAAAACATCCAAATTAATTCACAGGTTTCGCGATGTCAGGGTGCCCCAAACCCTATGATTTCATTGGGATTCGTTTTGGATTTCTGGGGTGAGAATCCAAGAAACCCTGTGATATCATTTGGAGCTGTTGGAGTTTTGTGATTTTCTGCCCCCCAGCAACATCAGCTCAGGAGCCCCTCAGGGTTCAGAATCCTAAACATCCAAATGAATTCACAGGTTTCGCGATGTCAGGGTGCCCCAAGTCATATGAATTCATTTTGATGTTTGGGATTGCTGGGATGGAAATCGCAGAAACCATATGATTTCATTTGGATGTTTGAGAATTGCGGGATTTGGGAGGGTCTGGGCCCACTTGTGCTGATGTTTGCTGGAAGGCATCACAATCCTACAATTCCCAAACATCCCAATGCAACCATAGGGTTTCTGGGATTCTCATCCCAGAAATCCATAAACTCACAATGAAATCACAAGGTTTGGGACACCCTGACATCGCGAAACCTGCGAATTCATTTGGATGTTTGGGATGCTGACCCCTGATTGGGCTTCTGAGCTGATTTTTGCTGGAAGGCAGAACGTTACAAAAATCCCAAACACCCGAATGAATCCATAGGGTTTCAGCGATTCTCGCCCCAGAAATACCAACCATCCAAATGAAATCATAGGGCTTGGGCCCCCCCAGGCGTCGCAAACATTGAAGGGTCACAAGGATCGCTGCTCCCTCGAGCCTCCCCCTCTCTCGCTCTCTCTTTCGCTGCCCCCCCCTCCATATTTGTCTCCCCCCTGATCCTCCCCCCCCTCCTCCTCCTGTGTGCGAGAAATCCATATTAAATCATGAGGTGTGGGGGCACTGGCTTGCCTGGGGGAAGGTCCCTGCAAGCCTTGGTTTTCCTGTGTGGAGGATGGCGCCCCTTCAAGCGTTGGTGTCCCCTGCGCTGAGACGACGGAAAAAAAGGCGCCCGCAACCCCCATGGGGAGAAGTGGCAAGCGAGAGGGACAGGACGGCAAGGAGGACGGAGGGCAACGGGACAGAGAACAAAAAGGGGAGCGGAGGAAGGGATGCGAAAGACAACGTGGAAAGAAAAAACGAAGCATGGGTGCTGGGGGGAGGCTATATATACACACTTACCTAGATTTGAATATATATATATATATATATATATGTACATTTATACACGCACACGTAGATATGTATGTAGGCAGTTCGATCGTCTTCTCTGTCTATCCCTGTCTACCTCTGTTCCTGCCTCACCATCTTTCTTTCTCTCCGTCTCGTCACACACACACACACACGCCTATATATACACACACATATGGTCAGCCCCCCCCCGCACCCCCCCCTGGCCCCATTGCTGTGTTTTCTGTCTCTTTCTCTCTCTCTCTCTCTCTCTCTCTCTCTGGTTCGCTCTCTCAATATGTCAATATCTCTCTCTCCCCCTCTGTCTCTCTCTCTCTCTCTCCCCCCCCTCTCTCTCTCTCACTCTCTCTCTCTCTCTCTCTCACTATCTGCCCTCTTTCTCTGTCCCTCCTCTTCCTCCTCCTTTTCCTCCTCCCCCTCCTCTTCCTTCGCCAGGAAGGCTTGCGGAAGGGGCGTGGCCACCAAACCAGGCTATTCACAGTTTTGATCTGGTTTTTTGTCATGGAAGCCTCAAAATCATGCTATTCACATTTTTTTCTTGGAGGAGGGGTTTGGGGTCTTCAGAAATTCCACATGCTGGGCCGAAAGAGATTAAGGACGGCAGAAACCAACCAACCCTTTGAATAGCAGCGCTGGGTGGGGGTGCGGCCACGAAACCATACCATTCACAGGTGTTTTAGGTTTCTTCGGTCAGAGAAGCCACGAAACCATGCTATCCATCAGTTGTTTTGGGTTTATTTTGTTTTCAAGCACTCCACGAACTGAGCCGGGACGGACCACGGGAGGGCGTTGAGCTTCTGAAGACAATAAACAAAAACATGGGAATAGTATGGTCTCATGGCTTCCATGGAAATAACATGTGACTAGCATGGTTTGGTGGCCACGCTCCTCCCGCAAGCCTTCCTGGCGAAGGAAGACGAGGGGGACGACGAGATGGAGGAAGAGGAAGAGGAAAGGATGAAAGGAGGAGGAAGAGGAGGATGGGGTGGAGTAGCAAAGGGGAAACCGCCACTATTGCTGCTGTTGTTCCTCTTCCTCCTGCTCCTCCCCCGCCTTATCCTCCTCCTGCCCCCCCTCCTCCTCCACCTGTTCTTCCTCTTCCTGCGCGCGCATGCGCGCAGGCGGGGCGCGCGATGGCGCCCACTTCACGATGGTCACAAACAATATTCAAACCCGCGCACATTTCGCATGAGCATTGCCATGCCACTCGCCCAGCATATCGCAACGCGGGTGCCATCTATATGACGAGTGGTTCTGTGGACACACATCTGGTCTTGAAAACCAATTCGGGCCAACCGAAATAGTCAACAGGCTCAAACGCGCACCCCGCGCTTAGCCACTCTCACTCCAAGCGGTCTCGGCTGCGTCAGCGAGAGAACTCACGCAGCGTGGTCCTTGGCCCACGCGTCGCGGGGCATCTGGCCAGTAGCGAGCCAGAGGTCGCCGCCGCGATTCCAATGCGCCCACTGGAAGGAGCGCGCCTTATATAAGCCAGAGAGCAGACAGCAACTGCGCATGTCGCGCTGGGCCGCCTCTCCAAACCTCAGCGCACGTCACTCGCAAACCTTTCCCGCGCTGGGCAACACCTCCCACCCCCTTGGGGCGGCGTTCAGCTGCGCTGAAGATTGAAATGGCGGCGCCAAAACGAACAAACGCGTTGCGCGCCGATCATGTGGCCAGCCTTGTTGCGGGGAAGGGCAGACCCCGCCGCCCTCGCAGTGCCCTTGCCGACCGCCCTGCGCAGATCGCCCGACGCGCGCTCGATCAGCTGGGTACCGCGCTGCGCCCGCAAGCGCTTCGCCCCGCGAGGCTTGCTCTAGTCTGGCACGTTGCGGTTGCGAACCTTTGTAAAGGCGGGCTTCGCCCGCGCCAATTTCCCACCGAGCTTCGCCTTCTTCTTCTTGCGCACCACCCAATCGCGCAGGGCGCCGTCGATCTTCAACCTGTGCGACCTCGCCCCGTCCGCGTGGAGGATGGCGCGGCGAAGCTTCAGCCACCTGGGCGCCTTGGGTGCCCAGTCCCCCTTCCGTGTCGGGCCAGGGCCAGGCGCCCTGCGCTTGGCCTTCCCTGGCTTCAGCCTGAAGAGGGCCAGGGGCCCGGGGCTTCCGCGCTGAACTATGCCGCCCCCGCTGCTCCCAGATGATGGGCTTCTGCAAGCGGGGGCCTGCGTTCGGGCCCCCCCGCTCTTCGCCGCGTAGACCTCGTCCGCCTCCACGCCCGCCCACCCGAGCTCGTTGCCGCCCTGGTCCTTGCCGAAGACGATGTGCTTCTCGTGGGCGCCCGAGTACTTAGCGCGGGCTGCGCGCAGCCCCATCTGCCACCTTGTGATTGTTCTTCAGCAGGAGGCGAGCGGGCGCCTGCGAGCACTGGGCCACGGCGCAGAACAGCACGGCCGCATGGCCCGCCAAACGTTCCCCTGACGACCCCGCGCCGCACTTGAATATCGGGTGGAAGGCGTGCGGCATGAGGTGGCGCCGGCTGCGCTAGCGCGTGCATGCGTGGACCCGCCCCCTCCTTTTTGCCGCGGTTCTTCAGGGGCCAAGCTTGCCACAGTTGCAGTAGGGACACTTCGCGCCCTCCCACTCAAGAAATAGCTTGTCCTTCCTCAACTTGTCGATCACCTGCTTGGTCGCCATGTTAACGAAATCGCTCAAGCACCGTGACCATACTGCTCGGTCGAGACGCGACCTGGCTGAAGCAGACCCGCGGCGCGTGTAAGGTGCGTTCTTCGGCTTGCGGACAAGTGGGCCCTTCTTTACTTTTTTTTTCGCGCGGGAGGCATGGCCATGCGGCCCTTTCCGCGCTTGGCGAGCGGCCATGGCTTACCCGTGGGCGGCGCGTGTGGTTGGCGGCGGCTGGGCAGCCGACGGGTGCTGGCGGGTGGGCTCGGCGGCCTTCTCTCGCCTAAACCAATGCTGAAACAATTCGAATGCATCCAACCTCGAATCGCCCTGGGGATCTCTGAGCACCCAGTGAAGGCCCGAGCGCTAGCGGCAACGTCATATGGAAAGGGGTTGCAAGGGCGCAGAGGCAGGACCGACGACGACGACGCCATTGCGGACACGACTGCGATCGGAGCACAGTGCTGGGAGGCATGCCATGCGCATGCGCGAGCGGTTCATAACCGCGGGGGCAGCGTTGGCCGCCGGCTGCCCCCACCGCGCCTCAGTCGGCATCGCTATCAGGCTGCTCGGCCACGCCGCCGTCGGGCTAATCGGCATCGCCACATCGCCACCAGGCTCATCGGCTTCGAGCATGGCCTCCATCTCTGCGTCCAAGTCGACGTCTCCGTCGTCTATCGCGACGGTTCCCCCATGCGCCTGCGACGCGATCCACGCAAAGATCGCCTGCTGCTCCTGAAGGCTGACGGGCGAGGGCGGCCCGCCGCGCGCCAAGCCCGTCTCCGTGGTCTTCCTGGGCGCGGTGACCAGGTCCTTGCACGCGCCGTGGCGGGCCTTGGCGAGGCTGCGGAAGATCGCCATCTGCTCGCAGTGGTCCTCCTCAGGGAGAGCGCCGCGGCAACCGACGATCAGGGGCTGCGCCTCGGGCGCGGCGTCAGCAGGCGCCGCCGCGCCATTCGGCGCGCTCGCGCCGCCGCTCGACCCCGAGGCAGCGCCCGCCTGCCACGGCACAATCATGCCCTTGTTGGTCCCGGACTTGATGAGCAGCTCCACGCGGGCGTTCCGCGCCGCCGTCAGCTCCTTGGGCGGCGCCGGCTCGGCCGCGCCCATGCCGCCGCCGAAGCCGAGCACGCCCTCCTCGTCCGCGACGTCGGCCCTTGCGTCGGCGCCGCCGCGGCGGCAGAACACGTCGTCGTCCTCGGGCGCGGCCCAAACGCCACCCGACTGGCGTGCCTCCCGCAGCGCCGCGGCGCAAGCTGGCGCGCCGCCCGCGGCGGCGGCGGCGGCGCCATCCCCGCCATCGCCGCGCGCGCCCGCTGCGTCGCGCGCCTCGGCCATGGGCTTGAGCATATCTTTCTTCTCGAAGGCGAAGAGCCTGTCGCACTCCTCCTGGTCGCGGCGCTTCTTGTGCTTGAGGGGCCGCATCAAAATATTGCCCGCCTCGGCCGTGATGTAGGTGCTCATGGGGGGCAACTTCTCAACGACCGAGTCCTTGCCAGCGGGCCTGAAGAAGAACGAGTGCTGCGTGCTCAGGGCGACGTTGCACCGCTTGAGCATGGCCCCTAAGCTGCTCTCGGACATGCCCTCAGGGAAGGCAGGCCGAATCATGTTCACCAAGATTTGTGTATGTCTCTGGGGCAGCGATCGTGCATGTCTATAAAGCAGGCCATTTCGGGGCGCACGGCCGCCCATCACACTCTACGCCCACACTCGCACTTCACACTCGCACTGCACACTCGCACCCCGCACTTCCCCCCACACTCACCCCCGCGCTCTACGCCCACACTCGCACTTCACACTCGCGCTGCGCACTCGCACCCCGCACTCGCACCCCACGCTCTACGCCCGCACTCGCAATCCACACTCGCACTTCGCACTCGCACCCCGCACTCGCACCCCGCACTCTACGCCCGCACTTACCCAACGCAGTCACCCAACAGAGTCACCCAACACAGTCAGTCAACACAGTAGCCCAACACAGTAGCCCAACACAGTAGCGCAACACAGTCGCCCAACGCAGTAGCCCAACACAGTAGCCCAACACAGTAGCCCAACACAGTCGCCCAACGCAGTCAACAGACACAGTCACCTGACGCAGTCACCCAACACAGCCACCCAACACAGTCGATCAACACAGCCGCCCAACACAGTCGTCCAACGCAGTCACCCATCAGTGTCACCCAACACAGTCAGTCAACATAGTAGCCCAACACAGTCGCCCAACACAGTAGCTCAACACAGTCGCCCAACGCAGTCACCCAGCACAGTCGCCCAACACAGTAGCTCAACACAGTCGCCCAACGCAGTCACCAGACACGGTCACCTGACGCAGTCATCCAACACAGTCGCCCATTAAAGTCATCCAATACAGTTGCCCACGCAGTCACCCAACAGAGTCACCCAACAGAGTCACCCAACGCAGTCAGTCAACACAGTAACCCAACACAGTAGCCCAACAGAGTAGCGCAACACAGGCGCCCAACGCAGTCACCCAACACAGTAGCCCAACACAGTCGTCCAACGCAGTCAACAGACACAGTCATCTGACGCAGTCACCCAACAGAGTCACCCAACACAGTCGATCAACACAGTCGCCCAGAGCAGCCACACAACACATTTACCCAGCGCAGCCACCAAACACAGTCACCCAATGCAGTCGCCCACTCAATTCGGCGCCCCCGCAAAAATCGGTTGAAGCCGATTGTCTGGTTCCTATGTGGATATCTGCGCTTCTGAGCCAGCTAAAAGAAGCATTCGCGCATCCGAGGACGGTGGTGACCCAGTCCACAGAGCTGCTCGTGCCCCACTGGCCGATCCGATCCAGAAACGGTTCCCAAACGAATTGCCCCGTTCGCCTCTTCAGAGGCCTCCCTGGCTACCTCGGGGGGGAGGAGGAGGAGGAGGAGGAGGAGGAGGAGGAGGAGGAGGAGGAGGAGGAGGAGGAGGAGGGGGGGGAGCAGGAGGAGGAGCAGGAAGAGGAGTAGGAGGAGCAGGAGGAGGTGGGGGAGGGGGTGGAGGAGGGGACGAGGAGAAGCGGAGGAGGAGAAAGAAGGTGAAGGAAGTGCAGGAATTGGAGGAGTGAGGGGTACGGGGGACGACGAGGAGGACGAATACGGGGAACAGGGGGCAAGAGGAGGGATGACGATCTCCTCCCATCCCCCCGCCCGCGCCATTCTTTGACGCTTCGCGTGTCCCCGCCAGCTCATCCATCAACGATGCCCAGGCAGGGTGTCTATGTGGGGCGGTGTTACGCATATCATGATTGAAGGAGGCCGGTAATGATGGAGTTTGAGACCTGGGACCCTCCCCAGGCCCTCGGGGGCTTTCTTGGGGCCAGCATGAAGGCCATCAATCAATGAAGAGAGGTGTTCAATATCAGTCCCCCCGCTGGGGTCCGACAAAGCATCTCTTGTGACCCTCATGCGGCGCTCTCGGGTGCAATTGGGGCCGCCTTGGAACCCTTCTGGGCCCGTCGGGCTCTTTCGGGCCATCGTAGCGCTTCGGGGGCCCGTCGGAGGCGAACAATCGAAAAGGCAAACAACGTTTAACAAAACACCACATTTGAAGGGTGATGACATATTCGGGGTACCCTTGAGAAGCTCCGTTGACACTTGGAGTCGCATTGGAACGGTTTTGGGCATCTTGGAGGCATTCCGCCCCCTCGACGGCCATATTTAGCGATCAGGGGTCCTCTTGAAATCATCCTGCGCCGTCCTTGTCGCTCTAAATCTTCGCGCCCCTCCCGGCCAGGCCCAGGGGCAAGGTGCCCCCCCCCTCCCCAAAGGGGAAGGATGTTGCAAACGCGAATTATTGACGCTTCGCGTATCCCCTCAAGCCCACCCAACAACGATGCACAGGCGAGTTGAGGTGTTGTTGTGAGAGGTTCGCGGAGGTCTCTTGGAGCTATCTTGGGGCTCTCTTGGGGTCCTCTTGGGGTCCTCTTGGTGTCCTCTTGGAGCCCTCTTGGGGCCCTCTTGGGGCTCGTTTGGGGTCATCTTGGGGCCCTCTTGGGGCTCTTTTTTTTTTTTTGGGGGGGGGGGTCTGAGAGGTCTCTTGGGGCTCTCTTGGGCCCCATGGCTCAAAAGAGGGGGGGTCCCCGATTCAGCCCCCCCCCCTCCCCTGAGGTTCAAAAAGGGCGCCTCAGGGCCCTATCGGAGCGCTCTTGGGGCGCTCTTGGGCGCTCTTGGAGCTCTCTTGGGACCCTCTTGGGGCCCTCTTGGGGCCCTCTTGGAGATCTCTTGGGCCATATTGGGGCGATCTTGAAGCCTCCGAAGCCCGTCGGAAGCGAAAAGGCGGGAACGCCAAACACATTGATTTTCTTTTTGGTTTTGGAGCCATTTTGGCCTCTTGGGGGGGCCTTGGAGGGCTCGGCGGGCACTTGAAACCGTCTTGGGGCTGTCTTGGGGCCTCGTGGAGGTATGTCGGAGGCTAGCTTGAGCCATGTTGAGCTATTGTGCGCCATCTTGGAGACCATCTTGGGCTCTTTGAGGCCCCCTTGGAGCCATCTTAGGGGTTCTAGCGCCTCGTGCCCCCCCCCCCTGCCGGGCCCAGGGGAGGGGGTAGGTGGAGGGGTAAACCCATCCCCCGAACAGGGGAAGGAGGGGTTGTGGAAAGAGAGAAAACAAAGTCTGTTAAACCACCTACGCCCAGAGGGCTGGTGGGATTCGTTAAACCACGCAGGCCCTGAAGTTCTGGCGTGGATATCGCCGCCTCTGTCGCCCCACCCCCTCGCCCCCAACCGCCCCCCAAAGCCAGTTTGGCCCAAATCTTCGCCGCCAGCGCCATCGCCCAACGCGCATTGCACAACAGGATGGGCGCACCTTGACCGCGCGCGTACATCATGCCCAAGTTAAATCGCAGGGCCGCCGCGCGCGCGGCGGCCCTGTCCCCTCGCGCATTGTATATTTTCACAGAATGGCCAAGGGCCGCCGCGCGCACTATGCATTTTCCCATACAGAACGGGCCAGGGCCACCGCGCGCGCGGCGGCCCTGGCCCCTCGCGCATGGTATATTTTCTATCGCAGAACGGGCCAGGGCCGCCGCACGCACTATGCATTTCCCATACAGAACGGACGAGGTCCGTCGCGCGCGCGGCGGCCCTGGCCCCTCGCGCGTGGTATATTTTCCAACACAGAATGGGCCAGGGCCGCCGCACGCACAATGCATTCTCCTATACAGAATGGGCCAGGGCCGTCGCGCGCGCGGCGGCCCTGGCCCCTCGCGCATGGTATATTGCCCAACACAGAATGGGCCAGGGCCACCGCACGCACTATGCCTCTTCCCATACAGAGCGGGCCAGGGCCGCCGCGCGCGCGGCGGCCCCACCGCACACAGTAAATTGTCCTACAGATAATGGCCCTGGGCGACCGCATGCACTATGCAGTTTCCCATCCAGAACCGGCCAGGGCCGCCGCGCGCGCGGCGGCCCTGGCCCCTCACGCATAATATATATACATATATATATATTATATATATATATATATATATATATATATGTGTGTATATATATACACACCACCACCACGCAGAATGGATCAGGGCCGCCGCATGCATTATGCATGTTCCCATACAGAAGCGGGCCAGGGCAGCCGCGCGCGCGGCGGCTCTGGCCCCTCGCGCATCGTATATATTCCCACACAGAATGGGCCAGGGCCGCCGCACGAACTATGCATTTTCCCATACCGAACGGGCCAGGGCCGCCGCGCGCGCGGCGGCCCTGAGCCCTCGCGCATGTAGATTTTTCCGCCTCGAATGGGCCAGGGCCGCCGCGCGCACTATGCCTTTTCCCATCCAAAACGGGCCAGGGCCGCCGCGCGCGGCGGCCCTGGCCCCTCGCGCATCGCATATCTTCACGCACAGAATGGGCCAGGGCCGCCGCACTCACGATACATTTTCCAATGCAGAACGGGCCAAGGCCGCCGCGCGCGCGGCGGCTCTGGCCCTTCGCGCATGTGATATGTTCCAACGCAGACTGGCCAGGGCCGCCGCTCGCACCATGCATTTTCGCATCCAGAACGGGCCAGGGCCGCCGCGCACGCAGCGGCCCTGGCCCCACTGTCCCCTCGCGCATGATATATGTTCCCACACAATATGGGCCAGGGCCGCCGCGCGCACAGTGCATTCTCCCACGCAGAATAACCAGGGTCGCCGCGCGCGCGGCGGCCCTGGCTCCTCGCGCATTGTATATTTTCCCGCGCAGAATGGGCCAGGGCCGCCGCGCGCACTATGCATTTTCCAATGCAGAACGGGCCAGGGCCGCCGCACTCATTATGCATTTTCCCATCCAGCACGGGCAAGGGCCGCCGCGCGCGCGCGGCGGCCCTGGCCTTTCCCGCATTGTATTTTTCCCTACACAGAAAGGCCCAGGGCCGCCGAACGCACTATGCATTTTCCTATGCAGAAGGGGCCAGGGCCGCCGCGCGCGCGGCGGCCCTGGCCCCTCGCGCAGGGTACATGTTCCTTCACGGAATGGCAGTGGGCAGCCGAGCGCACTATGCATTTTCCCATGCAGAAAGGGGCCAGGGCCGCCGCGCGCGCGCGGCGGCCCTGGCCCCTCGCGCAT